CAACCTGCAACTCTCCAGACGCCTGACTTGCTGCCTAAAAAGAGGGGAAACAATAAGCGTCAAAGCGCTAACGAGATCATCTCTACCGTCCCCAGAGAGAGGGGGTAGGTGTAGGAAAATACAAGTTATTACATATAGATATATAAATCATCTATCCTGAACTAAAAGAAAATTGAGATTTAGAAATCTACAACACAAGAATTAGTACGTCGAGCAAAATAATCCAAACAAGGAAACTCTCATGTATATACCATGTCTCAAATTATAAATTACTAAATCCTAACTCCAAATCCTATGAATAAAACAATACATAAAAGAACAACATATTACCAAATCTCATCCAATACAAGTCACGTCAAACATCTCACACTACCCTCGGGTAGGTAGCACAGTCACAAGAATAAACATTCGATAAAATGAAGCTCGCATAGAATATGTCGTGTATGCCAACTTTAGTCTTATACCCTACTCTCACGTAATTAACATGGGAGCATGAATACAATATATGTGATTCTCTGTCAGAAAATAATAATGTTGAGTAAGGCGCTCACAATATCCTATGGCATCACCTACCCTACTCAATCGCCCTACGAAAATAGGCATATCACCCTATTCTAGAAAATAATGATGCACAATGGAGTATAGTCTACTGCGGTCTCATTGCAGTATACCAACTAGCCATTTTGAGTGTAGTCTACTGTGGTCTCATTGCGATATACCAATTAACCCACTCAAGTATCTAACTATCATGAAATGCAATATATGTTATTTTCTAACATGACAAACTCAAAATATAGGTTATGCACCTCCAACCGCTCGTGCGTGCTCAAATCCAATACGTGTACTCTCATAAAGTACACATGTGTACCGATATGCGACTCATACTTTGTGTTCACGATCAACGCGTATGAAGATTCATCATATGCAAAACAACCTCTATCGGTCGACCAAAACATCTCCTCGGTCGACCGGAGCTACGTGCAAAACATGCACACAAACAGGCAATGATCAGTTGACCGATGCCCTTGGTTCGGTCAACCGACCAGAGAAAACTCTCAACTGTTGGATGACCTATCGGTCGATTGATCATCCTTGGTCCGTCGACCGATCAGAACAAAAATCCAGTTTTCAGAGAAAAGTTATATATTCTCATATATTCAGCAAAAATCAAAAATCTTCAATAAACTCTATGTATTAAAACTTGTTTAAGGTATATTAGGGTTTATTCTATTACATGAAAAAACAAATACGGAATTGGGATTAAAGCTAAAACCCTAAAATGTGTATATATGTATGATCATTATGAAAACAACTAACTTTAATCAAAACTCATGTTAAATCACGTTCAAAACTTAAACCCAAAACTAAAAATCTATTTTATATTTTTTTAAATCAAAAAGATTAGATCTTTATGTCATACGGTTCAAAAAGTGTGATCTTCATACATAAACTAGGTTTTAAAGATTCGATAAAACCAAATAAAAATATTTAAAAATAGGGGATGGGTTTGGAGGAGATGAAACTCACCTCAACAAGTCGTGCTGAACTTCCAAACATGCGTGAGAACGATCCTCCTTCACCAAAAGCTGTGAATCTCGCCCTCCTCTTGATTTTGCTTCTCAAAGCTCTCAAAATTTACCAAAATAGGTTTTAGGGCTTTGAGGGGAGAGAGTGGTTGTTTATTCACATGAAAGATAAAGGAAAACAGGAGAAATACACACACACACACACACACACACACACACATACGGGACGAAACGAAACGAAACTGACTCGAAACTCAAATTGCCCAGACTGTGCACTCGTCGATCGACTGATGGCTTGCCATCAGTTGACTGATAAGTGCCTATCGGTTTACTGATGGCTTGAGATCAGTCGACCGACCAGAGGTGTATTCTACCGATTGATTTCTTATGTTTGTGCATGTTCACTCTATTAAACATGTATATGTGTACTTAATCGATCTCAAATCGATTACAACTATACTCATTCATCCTAGAATAGTATCAAACATGATAAAAATCATTTAATAATATTTTTTGCAATATATTCAAATTTATAGGGTTTTACATAGTAGGAAACAATTTTATGGAGACTTCATAATTTCATAAGCTATAATCCATGAATTTTAACTAGTTTTATTCATGTCATGCCACTGGCAATTAGTTTTGTTTAGGTCAAAATTCAAAATTTCTTGAGCTATAACACATGGTTTTTGGTAATTTTTAGTCATTTCTACCCACTAGCAAATAATTTCGCTAGATTACAGTTCTTGATCTCAAGAGCTATAAACCAAGATTTTTGGCCATTTTTAGTCTTTCAGATCCACTGACAAATAATTTCATGGAGATGTAAATTCTTGTTTTCATGAGTTTTAATCAATAATTTATGGTTATTTTTAGTCATCCCGACTTAATGGAAAATAATTATGTGGAGGTCTATATTTATGATTTTATGAGCTATAACCTACGATTTTTAGCTATTTGTAGCTATTTGCTCGCATTGATAAATATTTTCGAGGAGTCCAAAATTAAGGAGTTTATGACCTATAAGGCTATAACTCACTATTTATGGACATTTTTATTTATTCCTACCCATTAGAAAATAATTTTTTATAGTTTAAAATTTACAATTTTATGAGCCCATGATTTATGGCCATTTTTAGTTATTCCAACCAATTTGTAATCGCTATAATGATAACCATATTTTTACTCCTAGTGCAGATCCCTCGTCAGTTCAAGCCCAACCCAAATCACTTCTACTACCCCTCTTGCGTCAACAATTGCCTTGACACCCTCAAAGAGATAGAGAGGAAGGAAGGTGGGCTAGTATTGGATGTTGACAACATGGATGAGGAAGGCTAGGAGTCGGGAGTAGGTTCTGCTTGAGATAGTTGGGTTGGTCAGCCTAAGGATGACCAAGATGAGGAGGTTAGGCCTGACCCCCAATCGACTCTTCATGCACATCCTACACAAACTTATGGCTGAGCTGCTCGAAGTTATTGATGATCTTTTCTCCATTGACTTCCACCATAACTTGGTACTTCCCGTCAAGGTGATCGACAAGGATATGCAAATTATCAGATCCTACACCTACTGGATGTTCATCTTATCATAAAAATTCTAAGCATGCTCAGCTAGATCCCCCTTTGCCTTTATACTTATCTATGTAAGGCATCTTGAATTTGTCGTAGTGGGCGTTCATGATCCATTCGGCAAGGGGAGTGTTCCCTCCCTTGGTCTCAGCAACTGGGTTGAAGGTCCGATCGTAACCAGACGCAGGGTTGGTGATAGAAGGCCTTGGAGCGACATAAGGATGTCAGGGATCGAGTGATGTCGCCCATGCGGCGCACTTCCATCCATCATGACCAAGGCTAGAGCTTTCCCTTGTCGTCTCCATGTGTTGCTGAGGTGGCCGAGGAGGAGCTGCGAAGCGAGTCTGCTAGCATGGCAAGTGGGATGTGTATTCATAGTCCTCTGGAGCTCGTTGATTGGCCTGAGCAGCAAACAAAAGATGAGAAGGGATGAGCAGTTGACCCACAGGAGGCGAAGGAGGAGGAACAAATGATGGAAATGATGGAAAAGGTTCTTGTGGAGGAATCTGGCTGAGGAGTTCCTTGTTGAAGAAAATGAACTGTTATTGGAGAGTTTGAGAAATTCTCCGAGCGGATTCTTCCAACTAGGTTTGAGTGACATAGCTCATATGTGGATCTTCAGCAGAAGGGTTGAAGGATCGGCCTGGGTGGTAAGAACCATCCATCTTGTGTGAAGAAGGATGAAAGGCCCCACTTTGGGTGTTAAACTGTTAATGTCAGTTATCTAACATGGGGTTTGAGATTGGATTAGGTGGGTTGTTAGGGTCGTCAAGCTTCTTCAAACGATTAATTCTTGAGCAAAAGTCTTGTCCTGTACATGAAAACCTCTTAAGGGGTCCGAGTTGGGATCTCCGGTGGTTCCTCCGACGATCAAGTCAATTCAGAGCTTGAGTGGAGAAGAAGGAGATAAGTGTTTAGGGGTTTTCTAGGCAGAATTTTCTTACCCTAAGCAACAAACATCATCTTGCTTTTATATTTATAGTAGATCAAAATGGAAAATGCGTAATTCCAGCCGAGTCTAAGCAAGCAGCTTAGTCGGCATTTACTTTACATGTATCGGCTACAGACGAGGATTAGTCATCCCTACGTTTAATGTGAGAGTGACTGAGTGTCCATAATGCTAATGAGGTCCGATGAGTCATAAAGACTTTCTGGGCTGGAGCAATGATGATTCTGATCATGCATTTAATGTGATAGCAATCGAAGGTCGGTGTGGGGCTCGAGGATACACCGCCATTCGACTCGTCTCCATGGAGGTCGACAAGTACCGCCTTTTTAGTCTACCTCAAATGTTGTCGACCATGAAGGGTCGAGTGCCGAGGGGGAGTGGGGTCACCACGGATGATATACAGAGTGATGACGCCTCTTGTCTTGATCTTGTAAGTATGCCGACAAGTACCGCCCTTTTAGTCAGTCTCGAAGGTTGTCAACCTACAAGAGCTAGTTGTCAAAGTCGCTCGAGTCGTCTATTACCGAATATGACTAATTAGGCAAAGGTGAGACACATGTCGGTCTCTCACTGGGAATTAACACTTAGTCATTTGCTTGATATAACAGCTACCTTTAAAAGTGTGTTTTTAGAAATCAACCATTTGGGTCCACCTTTCATTTACATTTGTTCGATAATTGACCCTACCTTAACCTCAATTAAGGATCGTCTCCCTAATATATTTAATAATATATTTAATATTTGACAACTAATTATTACCGAAGAAACTTGACTTAAAAGTGGATTTAGATAATTAATTATAATAAAAAATATTTTAAAGATGGTTTATGTATTAATTGAAAATAAACGGGGGGGTTTTTAGATATAACACTCTAATAACAAAGAAGGAGATTTGCAAGTTTCCAGCTTTGAAAAGTCCAAAAGCCACACGCTTCCTCCACTTATTAGGAAGAGAAACAAATAATAATAGTGGAAAAAGAAGCTAAGTTTGGGAAAGCCATCTCAATCCTATCCATTTAGTCTTCGGATCACCTAACCCTAAAGCAAAAGCAACCGGTTTCTCTTCCTCCCTCTATAATCTCGTTCAATATCTTTATAATTTGTAGTTGAAGTTGTTTTTAGGGGATGGCGAAGAGTTCTTTCAAGCTCGAGCATGATCTTGGTTTGTATTTATTGACCCTTTTTAAAATATATATATATATGTACACACACACACATATACATATATATCAATCGGTTTTGTTGCAGATGATGGGTATTGATGATTTTTGGGGTTTTTTTCTTTTTAATGTTCAGAGAAGAGAAAGGCTGAGGCAGCGAGGATCAGGGATAAGTACCCAGATAGAATTCCGGTAAGATTTTTTATTTCATAATTTTTTGTCTTATTATTACTTTTGATGTTTTTAGTTGTTAGCTTGTATTGTGTAAATTGATGCCTTTTTGTGAATCACATGTTTGGATGTTAAAAAGAGTTGAAATTGGTAAGCATGGCTGTGGTTCTCGTGGAAGATATTGCTTTAAAATGAAAAAAAGAATTTTTTTTAGTTTTTGTTGCAAATTGTGATGTTAATATATTCTGCTTAGACCTGGAATTGATGATTTAACATCAACTGCTGATGATCATCCATAAAGTGCTGCTTTTCCTATGTGTTAATTAAATTCTGATCTTTATAAGTATATCTGTGGCTTGACTCGTCGTTCTTGTTCTTAGAACTAATTCTAATGGATGAAACTTAATGTAATACTTAAACAATTATCGTAAGAGATCAAATATCGTTTGTACATGTTTAGCAGGAGCTGCCTTTTCATGCTTTTTTTGGTATTCTCATGGTTGATCACTGTTCATGATACAAAAGTATATTTTGCATATCACTCACGCCAAGTGCATTTACTGGATTGTTATCTTGCAGCGTTTTAGCGGCAATTCTGTTGTAGAATCACATGCCAATGGCCTATGGCCTGACCATGACGTGATTTGGAGAGTGGATATCTTTTTTTTTTCTTTAAAGTGATGTTTGACTTGGTGTCAAATTGTTTTCTAAAGATTAAGTATTACATGATGTTTACACATAACCGGCGAGAATGAAATAGTTATAGCTAAGCTAACCATGTAAAAAGCTCTTCCTTGTATTTCTATTTAGCCCTTGGAGAGGATATGTTGATTTTCATGTTTTTTTCCTTCACTTTTTTTGTCATACATTTTGGACTGCATATATACATGCATAAGGTTTAAGAATTTGTAGGCCAGATAACTTAACATTTAACATTACTGGACTCATTTTGCCAATTAACTTAATATTTAACATTGCTAGGCTCATTTTCTCTTGTTTATGCACCTTTAGATTCAGGCTCATCTAGTATCTAAATAGTATTTGGTAGCTGTGGGCTGACTTAGATATGTGTTTTGTGAATAAGCAGCTTTGAGTGTTTTCTCAAGTGTTATATTTGCTTATGTAGCCTCTGTGCTTAGTTGCCAGGCAACCTAAAATCAGAATTGTTTTTTTCCTGGACATGAATTTACACTTACATGAATATGGTTATGATTTATCTTTCTATTTTCTTTTTATTTATGAAGCCTCTGATAGGCCAGGAGATTTGGAAGTCAGTTCAGAATATGTTGTATTAGAACACTACGTAACATATATAGTCTAAATCTGACTGGTTTTCACTGTCAGATGCAGTAGACTTGTGATTTGTTAGTAAGAAGTGTCAATATGCAGCAATTAACATATTCTAAACATCAGTCAGGATATTAGATATAATGCAGGTTAATGCACGTGCACATGAGTGAGTGCTGTGTATGTGTGTGCACGCGCTCATTGTCTATAGTATTCTTCTCGATTTGGTAGAAGAGGGCTAAAATAGATGTTCATGATTCATATAGGTTGTTATGCTCTAAGGTTTATATTTAGCGTATTCATTTGTCTTTACTGGTTCAGATATTTGTCTTTAGCCTTTTAAGTGTATGTCTCTTCTGAGTTTAATTCTGTAACATTCTTCTTTTGCTCCCCTCCTTTCATCTTTCTTTGTCCAGTGTTTCTTTCTTCTCTACTCTTTCTTTCCTCTGCTTATTTCCTCCCTTCCTGTTATTTTTATCTGATTAGACACATTTCTTGGCACATGCCTATGTACTTTTGTGGTTTAAACTTAGTGTATCAAAATTTTCCTACAAGTAGGTAATGACACAATACTTTGAAATTTTTAAATAATTAATGTTGGTTTTGTCGAATTCTTGACTCTTTTTCACTCTATGCTACCTTGGGCATAATATCTGTCATCTGAAGCATTGTGTTTGCCTGGAGCCATTGCTGTCATTGATCCTTTGCATGCTATTCTAGGACTCTGCACTATAGTTTGAAAAATTCAATCTGCTAAACTTTTGAACAGTGAAGTGCTATGTTGTCAACCATATCTTGATATATGAGCTTACTAATAAATTAGCATTAATATATCTATTCATCTTTTTAAATCAGAATTGTTGTTAGTAGGAATTTGGCATTATATTGTATTTTCCTTGCTGAACCCAAGAGCTACTTTTCCCTCGTCTCTTTTCTTCTCATTGGTTAAACATTCTATTAGTTTTATAGTTCTACTAAAAATGTGTCAATAAACAACATGGGAATTTGGCACTATAGTTTTTTTTTTTGAAATTGTTGGGTGGACCGTTTAAGCAGCCCGCTTAGCTTTGGGCGGGCGGTAGGCCAAGCAGCCACCCTTGAAAGAGTATGTGCACGGATCTAAGCAATCTGCTGAACAGGTCTAAGCAAGCTGCCGAAACTGTGGGTCAAAATGCATATAACAGTATAAGAGCCATTGCTGCTTTAAAACTGGCTGGCTAGAGCCTCTATGCTATGAAAATATTGACCCATCATATTCATAAACAGGAATGTAAGTAGATGTGTTTTTTATCTCCCAATTATATTTGTTGGAAAGGTCACTAATGGTTACGGTGCCGTCATAAACCTCCTAGAAATCAATGGTAAAGATTTTAGAGTCATTTCTGTTGGTTATGCTGCTGAAAAGGAACTTAAAATTTTATTGTTAACTAGAGTCCCATATCAGTCGCATGTTTATGGGAAAAGAGTAGGCTAGATAATGGGTTTCTTTCAGTAGTTTCCCTTTGCTCAATGCACATTGGAAATGGTTTTTTTTTTTTTTTTTTTTTTTTTTTTTTTTTTTTTTTTTTTTTTTGGGGGGGGGGGGGGGGTGTAGAACATGTTCTGTAGGATAATTACATAACCAACACCTGGAGATTGTCTAACCAAAAAAGAAAAACATCAAAATACGAGACTGATCTCGAGATGAAACTGATACACTGAAAACTAGAGAAACATCTAACCAAAAGAAACACCAGAAGCTTCAAAAAAGACTGGGAAGCTTCAGAGACTACAAGGAATACTAGAGAACATCAAAAGGAGCTTGGCCGAGAGACTGGAGTGGAGGGAGGAGGACAGGGAGAGATCAACCAGCAGAAGAGAAATTATCTCCCACGTCTACATCACTGTTAGCTTGTGCTGTGAGCTTCAAACCCAGGTTAATGGCAGCTTGATGTAGCTTTGGTCCTGATTTGCTACCAGTGTTGCCTGTCCAAAATAGAACATATCTTGCAATATTAGAGGCAATGCGATGATGACATACATTTATACCGTTAAAGATAAAATTGTTTCGGCTGTTCCATATACACCAGCAGAAGCACGGTAAAAAAACTCTCCATAATAAGACAATATCCTGGTGGAGGACTGAGTTGAAGTTTAGGGAGATCAAATCTTCCAGGTGATGAGGCCGAGCTGCTGGAGGAACCAGAGGAAGGAGAAGGGACCACGTAGAAAACGCAAAGACACACCTTATGAATAGATGGTCGTGAGACTCAGTTACCTCGTTACAAAGTGGGCAGAGAGGGCTCCCCCCCAACCTTTAGATATCAGATTATCCCTGGTATTCAACTTGTGCTTACTGGCAATCCAGAAAAAAATTTTAACCTTCAAAGGGATGGGGGAATTCCAAATAAAGTTATTGGTTAATACATCTTAGAGAAAGTCTCCTCTTTCAGTTATGCTTCTTTATTACTGGAATCTTAACTATTGATTGTAAAGATATGAACATTATCTCCTTTTAAGTGTTTAACATGGTTCATGGACTGAAATGCCTGCCATTATTTTCAAGGTAATTGTGGAGAAGGCAGAGAGAAGCGATATACCAAATATTGACAAGAAGAAGTAAGCACATTTTTAATTCATCTGGGTCATCCGTGCTTTGGTTTTGTATAGTTTGCAAGAGATAACGTATGCACTTTGTTTTCTTTTTTATGCGTCCAGATATCTGGTTCCAGCAGATTTGACAGTAGGGCAGTTTGTATATGTAATTCGCAAGAGAATAAAGCTAAGCGCAGAGAAGGCAATATTTATCTTTGTCGACAATGTGCTTCCACCTACAGGTAAGCTCCAACAAATTCCGGGAAAAAATAATCCTATACATGACCCTCTATAGAAAATCATACATCGAGGAAGAGGATACACTATGTCTCTCAGCACAAAAGATTTTTGTTTGTAAATGACAACATGGCAGATGTCCCAACAAAGTCTTAAAGTTGATCGAGGACACGCACGTCAATTTTCTTCTTACTCTATGGTTTTCTATAGAGATGTTTTTGTGAATTGTTTTCTCGCAAACCTATAGGCGAAAAAAAATTCTACTGGGGCTCTCTATAGAAAACCCTGTTGGGAAATGGGGGTGCGAGGACATTTGGCCAAGCACAAATCTTGATGCACTCATTACTATCAGCTACCGGTGTGGAGAAACTATCTACCAGTGCTTCACCGATAGCAACCGCACTAATAGACGTTGACGGAATAAATAGTTGACGGTGATGCATGCATCAAGATCTGTGCTAGATTTCTGTTAGGCGAGCCTACCTTCTTATATTATTTGGGGGCCTTCATAGTACCTTTTCTCCAAACACTCGAGCTGGCAGTAATGTTAGTTTCGACAATTCCATGTATGTTAGCTGATCTTCTTCTTGCTTTGATCGTCAGGGGCTGTGTTGTCTACCATTTATGAAGAGAAGAAAGACGAAGATGGCTTTTTATATGTAACCTACAGCGGAGAGAACACCTTTGGGGGGCTTCAGCCTTGAACTCTGGGATGACTCTCGTCTGCGTTTCTACTTGGTCTCTGTTTTAATAAAAAAAAAAAAAAAATCAATGTATCCCCAGGGGAGGCTCCTTAACAAGTGATTTGATGAAACTCTGTACAGTGTGCACTCTGTGTATAGTTTTTAACAGGTGGATCAGATATTTTGGAGAAAACAATTCATATGGCTCAAAATAATATTAATTATCTTATTGGATCCGATAACTCTTGACGCCACTCGCCAGGGGACGGCGTTTCATCTTATTGGATGAGAAAGAAAGCTAACATAAAAAACTGCCAGAGGGTCTTAGCTTAATTAATATTAATCCAAGAAGGGTTTGGGAGGAAGTCTTGAGGCTGAGAGCAAATAAAAGAAAGCTTGCGGGAAAGAATAAAACAAAGAGAGAACACCAGATTTAACGAGATTCGGCAAACGTGTCTACGTCCTCGGGAGCCACACCAGAAAATTCTTTTAATATTGATGAAGATTACATTGCCTGCAAAAGGCCACTCTCTCTCGCTAAGATCTCTAATATCAAAGTGTTCTCAAAACCCTTTTTTTTTCTTGCACAATCCCTCAAAAGAACGCCCAAATATATATACAAACTCTAGCTCAAATAGGAGTCCAACCCGAACCAGGAAAGCGTTTAACCCGACATCAATCGACTGATGTACATGCATCAGTCGACTGGCCGGAACTGTGTTTTCTACAGGGTTGCTCGTGCACAAATCAGTCAACTGGTTACCTTGTGTCGGTCGACTTACCAGAGCGTGATTTCCAGCTTTGTTTCCTACAGTCGCGTCAGTCGACTGGGATTCTTCCATCAGTCGACTGATGGTTGGGTTTTCTGCTACTTGTTGATTTTTGATTCCAGGTTTTGGTCTGCACATCCAATACCAACAATCTCCCACTTGGAGACAAAACCACCATCAACGAGCTCTCATGAACTTCTGCCATCTTCGCAAGCATCTTCTCCTCCCCTGAAAAGTTTTATTCTTCAATCAACATCAATCTCGGTGATCTTAGCTCCTCCTAGTGTGGCTCCACCCTCATCTCCTACGCGTGAAGTTGCGCACAACTGAAGTTGCGCACAACTGAAGTTTGTCAACGGTCACTGTTTTCGTCAACATATCTGCAATATTTTAGCTCCCCAAAATCTTCTCCAATTGTAACTTCTCGTCCTCTATCAGCGAGCGTATGAAGTGGTAACGTACGTCGATGTGCTTCGTTCTAGCATGATATACTGGATTCTTAGCAATGTGTATAGCACTCTGGCTATCACAATAAAGAACGCCGTTCCCTTGCTTCAAACCCAACTCTTCCGAGCACTCAGTCAGCCAAATCATCTCCTTGCTGGCTTCAGTCACTGCGACATACTTTGTCTTAGTCGTAGATAATGTTACTATTTTCTACAAACGTGAGACCCAACTCACAGCTATCGACGCTAAAGTATAAACATACCCTGTGATACTTTACCTTGTATTATGATCACCGGTGAAATCTACATCCACGTATCCTCGCAGTACCAACTCCCTCCTCTTGAAACACAGTGGCATATTTGTAGTCCCTCTCAAGTATTACAATATCCACTTCACGGCCTCCCAATGTTGATTCCCCGGATTGCTTGCAAACCTACTCACAACTCCTACTATATTGGCGGTATCTGGCCTCGTGCAAACCATCGCGTACATAAGATTACCAATGGATGATGAATATGACACTCTGCTCATGTGTTCCTTCTCTGCATTTGTCTTGGGTGATTGTTCCTCAGATAACTTGAATTGACTTCTAAGAGGCGTACCAACGGGCTTAGCATTCTCCATGTTGAAACTCTAAAGTACCTTCTCGATGTATTCAGTCTGACTCAACCTCAACGTCCCTTCAGTCACATCCCGACTAATTCACATCCCAAGAATTTGCTTTGCTGCACCCAGATCTTTCATAGCAAACTCATTAGCCAACTGCTTCTTTAATTTGTTTATCTTCTCTAAACACGGTCTTGCAACTAACATATCATCAACATACAGTAATAGCACGATATAGCTGGACTTGAACCTCTTGAAGTAGCAACAATGATCTGCATTGTATCTTTCATAGTCATTGCTCTACATGAAGTTATCAAACTTTTTGTACCACTGTCTTGGAGCCTGTTTTAAATCGTACAAGCTCTTCTTGAGCCTACACATCATCTCTTCATTTCCTTCTTCAATGAAGCCAACATATTACTTCATGTAGATTTCTTCATCCAAGTCACCATGAAGAAATGCAGTCTTCACATCCAACTGCTCAAGGTAGAGATTTTTAGCAATTACTAAGCTCAACACCACTCTGATGGTTTTAAGCTTCATAACGGGGGGAAATATCTCCGTATAATCCACTCATTCCTATTGTTAGAACCCTTTCACGACTAATCTGGCATTTTATCTTTTGCTGTCATCACTCTCCTACTTGACTCGGTAGAACCACTTGTTGTGTAAGGCTTTCTTCTGTACAGGTAACTGGGCTAACTCCCAAGTCTCATTCGAGTGGAGAGAATTTATCTCTTCTTACATCGCCTGCTCCCACTACTGAGATTCATTAACTTAGATAGCCTCCTCATAACACTCAGGTTCTCCGCTATCTGTCAAAAATAAGTAATCAAGTGATGAAAGATATCTGGGATTCGGTTTGGGTACCTTGGATGACCTCCTAAGCTCCATGCTCTGGGTAGTCGTCTCTGCACCTGGAGTCATCTCCGTTCTTCGGTCAATATTGATATTGTCTCTCCCATCTGAAAGTTCCTCTAAATCCATGTACTCGGATCCGCCTGCATCCTTAGTGCTGCTCCAACTACTTCGGCTATCCTTGTCATTGTCCTTATCCTTATACATTACCTCCTCATTGAATATGGCGTCTTTGTTCTTGGTGATTTTCCTGTTCTTCTCATCCCATAGATGTCGTATCCAATGAATGTACATTTCTGTGACTTAGCTTCTAGCTTGTCCTGACATGGTCACTGATATGAACATATGTCACGCAGCTAAATACTCGCAAGTGTGAGAGATTAACTGTCTTGCCACTCCAAACCTCTTTTGGAATCCTAAAGTTTAATGGAACTAATGGCCCATGGTTAATTAAGTAAGTTGTTGTATGCATCGTGTCCGTTCAAAACATCTTAGGTAGACTTGCATGTAAATGCATGCTCCTCGCACGCTCTGTCAATGTCCTATTCATCCTCTCTGCAACACCATTCTGTTGCGGTGTCCCTAGAATAGTCCTCTCTAAACGAATCTCATTCAGAACACAGAACTTAAACTCCTCCACCTCATATTCTCCACCATTATCTGATCTCAGACACTTCACCTTCAGATCTGTCTTGTTCTCCATCATAGCTTTCCACTTCTTAAATATCCCAAACACCTCTGACTTGTGCTTCATGAAGTATACACATACCTTCCTTGAGTGATCATCAATAAAGGTGACATAATACGCCAAACCGCCAAGAGAAGACACACTAGCTGGACCCCAAACATTTATATGAACAAGCTCTAGCCTCTGAGCTTTAGGTGATCTTCCACTCTTCTGAAAGCTGACCCTCTTTTGCTTCCCGTAGATGTAATCATCGCAAACACCAACTTCAACTGAATCGATGCCGGATAGCTTTCGTTGAGAGTGTAGAATCATCATACCCTTCTCACTCATGTGTCCTAACCTGTTGTGCCACAGATCTACACTCTCCTTACTAGCTGCAATTGCGAGGGTATCACTCGCATGTGAAGTGAGGTAGAGAGTTCATGTTTTATTGCCGCGGGCAACCATCATAATACCGTTAGAGATCTTCCATGTATCCCTGGTAAATGTTGAAACATAGCATTTCGTTTCAAGTTGGCCCACCAAAACATGATTTCTCTTTAGCTTCGGTACATGTCTGACACTCTTTAGATTCCACTTAGAGCTCTTCATCTGAATCTGCACATCTCCTCTTCCCACGATACTACAAGGCTCGTTGTCCCCCAACTGTACTTTCCCAAAGTTTTCTGTTACATAGTTCTGAAGAAGCTTCCTATTAGCAGTGGCGTGGAATGATGCTCCTGAAATAATAACCCAAGAATCAGTATTGCTGTCTATAGCAAGGATCAAGGCATCTTACACGATATGAGCCTCCTGCTCATTCGTATTTTTCTTTGGCGCTTTGCGGACTCAAGACATATGACCCTCCTGGCCGCAGTTCCAACACTTCCCTTTGATAGGTCTCACCTTCGAGTTCGACCTCCTCTTCTTCAACTTCGACTGATTCCTGTTCTGGTTACCCTTCTTCTGGCTTCGGCCTCTCTGCTCGAGATTTAGGGCTAAACCTGAACATTCTGATTCAGACGATTTTCTTCTAACATCATCGGATAGAATCATGCTAACCACCTCGCTCATCTTCAACTTCTCCTTCCCAGTCGAGTTGCTAATTACGATCATGCAACCTGCCCAGCTATCCGACAACTGCGATAGTACCAATAGGACCTGTACTTCGTCATCAAACGTGCTGTCAACGGAGATAAGTTGATCAACGATCATATTGAACTCGCTGAGATGCAACATTAAGGAGTATCCTTCTGCCATCTTGAGGTTAAAGAGTGTCTTGACGAGATGCACCTTATTTGCGGCTGGTGGTTGCTCGTACATCTTTGCGGTCGCTTCCATAAATCTCACTGTCGTCTTCTCCTTCAATATATTGTGGGTGACTGGTTTGGAAAGCGACAACCGGATCTGCCCTAGAGCCTTCTGATCCAGTATTTCTCAGTCCTCATCTGATTCCTCCTTCTTCTTTCCCTTACCTTTGTCTATCAATGGACGGTAAAGATCCTTCAAGTACAGATAGTCCTTCATCTGACTTCCAGTAGCGAAGTTTGATCCGTCAAACTTCTCGATCTTCGATTTGTTTTCTTTTGTTATAGCTCTCGCATAAATCTTTGCTGAACGAGGCTTTGATACCAGTTGTTGGGGTTAAAACAATGACAACTCGTGCCCTTTCGGATCTTGTGTCGAAAGTAGGCAAGCAAGAAATCACAGAAAATAAAAGAAAGCTTGCAGGAAAGAATAAAACAAAGAGAGAACACCAGATTTAACGAGATTAGACAAACATGCCTACGTCCTCGGGAGCCACACCAGAGAATTCCTTTAATATTGATGAAGATTACAATGCCTGCAAACAGTCACTCTCTCTAAGATCTCTGATCTCAA